TTCATTGTGTATGAAGGGTCTTTGGGTCACAGGTGCAGTCATGTGGTGCTGGAGTGTGTTTGGTTTCAGGAGCAGTGAAAAGAAGATTCAATGTCACAAGGCAAGGAAACAACAAGAAGAAGCTTCAGGCAGGTTTCAGACCGACTCACCTTTAACTCAACCAGTTCTACTCATACACCTCATGGACGTGTTCAGAGTTAATGGTAAATGGTAAATGGACTTGAGCTTGTATCGTTCTTTTCTAGCCTTCTGACTACTCAAAGCTCTTTCACACCACAGGTCACACCTACACATTCACACACTGATGGTAGAGACTGCTGAGTAAAGAGACCATCAGTATTAACTCATCCATTCATGCACATTCACACACCGCCGACGAAGCAGCAGGAGCAATTCGGGGTTAAGTGTCTTGCCCAAGGACACATCGGACATGTTGCTACAGGAGCTGGGGATCTAACCTACGACCTTCTGCTGGGGACGACGACGACTCTACCACTGAGCCACAGCCGCCCCTGCGTATGAGTCACTGATTACAAGCTCCCTGTTTAAACTAATTTATTAGACCCCTGTTAATGTAGTTTTTAATTTGAGCTATTGTCCACGATTGGTGAAAGGAAAAGAGTCCGGCGATAAAACAGATCTTCTGTCCGTCCTGGTGCAGAGGCGTCTGATGGCGGCGAGGGTCCCTTACGGCGAGGGTGGCTTCGTTGGTTCTCCGTCGAGTGGAAAGATGTCCTTTGATGTCCTTTCGTTGCAGGACGGAATAAGACCGTTATCGTTCTGATAATCTGTTATAGTCTGACGCTCTCCGAGAAACTGAGATGCGTTCACTGGACAATTCGAGCTCGGAATTTAGAACACTGCCGGCCGCGGATTACCTGTGTGCCAAAACTTAAAACAAAGGAAGATGGTTGCAGGAAACAGGAGGTGAGCTTGGGTCTCCGAACACTTGAAGTCAGCGCGTGGAAAGAGAGCGAGCAATGGAAGTCTTGGAGTTTTGTCACCTGGCCGCCTTCCTGTGGGGTCTCCCTCAGGTTCCGGTCCCCCCTTTACGTCACACGTAGGTGTGAAGTACCGCAGGGGATTCTGGGATAAAGAGTCCTTTTAGGCTTCTTTGTGATTTCAGTGAATCACTCAGATGAGACTTCCCACAGGGGTGCAGGCCCAAGTCCATTGTTTGACTGTCCTAAGTCTGCGTGGCCCAACAGTAGTTACCACAGTGTTCTTCAAAACAGTTAAATTTAGTCATTTAAAAGATAAATTAGATAAGAATATAAAGTTATAGCAGAATATGTATGAAGGTGTTTCTATACCGGTGATTAATAAGTAGCCAAAGTGTTTCCATTGATCCTTTTTTTCAGCAGTTTCTCACCAACGCTTACTGTTGCTAGGTTACAACAGCAACTTGGGGTTAAGTGTCTGGCCAAAGGACACATCGGACATGTGGCTGCAGTAGGGGATCGAACCCCCGACCTTCCTGTTGAACTGAGCCACAGTTGCCCCTCATACATCGTACCAATATAGGAAAGTCCAAATGACATCCTTGGTTTTATTTTTAGAGACTTACTATACCTATCCTCTTTGTCTTCATGCTAGCAAGTACAAGCAACATCAACAACTAATCCTAAACAGTGATGTAGGAACCAAAATGTGACAATGATGAAGAGATCAATATTACAAAATATTCCTTTTAATATACTGAACCACCCACCATGAGCATGACGGGAGCACAGAGCTGTGGAGCCCTCAGTCCTGTGGTTTGATAATCACACTCGTCATTTAATACAGAGTAAAAATGACTTGAAAGAAGTGACATCATCATCAACATTGGTGTTTGAGACTACTTTTTATAATCCTTGAGTTTGGTATTTACGCTGCTGCCATCTTGTTTTCTTGGACATATATCTAAGCATATTCAGAGGACTATGGATGTGTAATACTGCCCACAGTAAAGGACTCTGTCCACTAATGCACTTTGTTTGTGCTGGCGGCCTCCAGTTTCTAAACAAATGCAATGCATGTCAGTTATCCGTTACTCTCAATTAGAAATTGTTCTATATTTGGAACAAAGCTGCTCTAGTCAAATTCACCTCTCCCTCACAGAGTAATCAGAATCAAAAAGGGGCGGGACTTCGGACATTAGCTTTGTTAACAATAATAGCGTAGGCAGGCGGTGGTCTAGAGATGCTGCAAATGCCAGGATGTGAGTCTTTGACTTTGATTGATGATTTCCTGGTGAGTAAGGTAAAATATTAGGGCAGCTGTGGCTCATTTGTTTGAGTCTCTCAACCTAAAGGTCGGGGTTCGATTCCCAGCTCCTGCAGCTACATGTCTGACGCTTAAACCCGAGATTCTCCCGCTGCTTCATCGGCGGTGTGTGAATCGCTTTGAGTAATCAGAAGACTAGAAAAGAACGATACAAGCTCAAGTCCATTTACCAATATTAAATATACAGAGCTCTTAAAAACAGACCTTACTGTAACCGCCGAGGAAAGTGGAAATGCCGCAACCTAGCAGCAGTAAGCGTTGGTGAGAAACCGCTGCCAGAACCAAAACAAAGCATCAGTAGACAAAGTTTGGCTACTTGTTAATCACAGTTATAGAAACACCTTCATACATATTCTGCTATAACTTTATATTCTGACTAAAGATAACAGTTTTGAAGAAGACTGCGGTAACTACCTAATAAGACCATGATAGCGTTTTGAAAATGATAGCATCGTTTACTTTTTAGATGGGGAACAATTGATTTTTAGAGGAAACACTTTTAATCGGTGGTTATAAAAAACTAAATTTACAAGAACACTTTTAAAATAGGGTAAGTTTGTCCACAAACCAATTGATAGCCAGGAGGCCTAAAACACAATTAAACCAAAAGATGCTGCTTTTCTTTGTCTTTGAGAAACTGGTTGAATCAGACGTGAGCCGACCATCGCACTGCTTTGTAAGAATAGTACCTTGATGATGATGATGCTGCTGCTGCTTCCAGTGGTCTCTAAAACATCAGATCAATCCAACATGAGCCAGAGCAGGACAGGATGGAGTGAGATGAAGAAGCAAGATGAGATAAGATCAAGATGAATCCTTAAGTTTATAACCCCTTGTGTGTCCCAGTGTGTCCATGACAGGAGCCAGACACACACACACACACACACACTCAAATAAACAATGAAACAGCATCAAGCCCACATCGTCTTACTGAGGGGACAAACACTACTGGGCCCGGATATCTGTGTTTAAACATCTGAAATATGAAGTAAATGTTCAGTCAAGTTTAAATATTATATTTAAAATATGCATAGCTACTCGTATGGAGCTGTAAATTCATCCCCAATGTGTTTTTGGTTGTTGAACTAACCACTTCTCTGGGATTGTTGGTGGTGACGGCCCCCCTCTGTTAGTCCCTATCCTTCTTCCTGCATCCTATCCCATCTCCCCCTGTCCCATTTTTCTTTTGTATCATAAGAAAGAGTAAAGTCTTCTTGCTGTGTCTCGAGATAACAGATTGACTGATTGATTTCCTCTGCTGACTGATGTGAGCTCAGGGATGAAATGTAGTTTAAGTTCAGCATGTGCATAAAAAATATGAGCTCTTTTCAATCATTTCAATTTTTACCTCTCTTCCATGCCAGGAGGGAAAACCTGGAGGTATTTCTAAGAACATGATAGCTGCCTTTTAAAAATGTGATGTAAAACTGCCGGACATGGACTGAACCACAGTTTTCTATTTTCCTGATCTTAAGGGAAAGTCATGTGCTAAAACACGTTAAGACATCTCAACATTTCAGATTCTCTTAAATATCTTGGAAATGTAAGAAATAAAAGTAAGCAGCACCTTGTGTTTCATGCACAGGTTGATTTGAGGATTGAGTCAAACATCATGATGTCATCGTATAAAAACACAAATACTTCTCCCATTGCTCATGATGTTGCTTTTCTACCTGTGCGGTAATGCTGTGGTTAACATATTAACAGAGGACCTGCTGCCTGAATAAGACATGAGAACAACAACAACTCTTCAGCGCGTGTTAAATGTTCCATCACAGCATTATCACACACATACAAGAACAACTCCATGTTAAAGTTGCAATCCTTTTTTTTTTTTGGTGAGAATAAAAGCTGCTTTTAAAAACGATACACTAAGCTGAGTCTACGATACTGACTGGGACCCACATTGTGTGTGTGTTTTACAGCGAGGCCCCGTGTCCACCTAGCGTTTTTTTTTCTGAGCGCCTGCGTCTTTGTTCAATTGTTTTCAATGAGGAGAGAGCGTGCTCAGCAGAAAGCGGCCGCCTGGAGAAAAAGCCCAGCGTCCAGCGTCTTTCTTCTGAGCGATTTTGTGCAGCTGCTCTGAGCGCTCAAGTCAAACAATTTTTCAAAAAGCAGACTTGTTTAAATCAGTGTACTTCTTGTGATGAAAGATACAACAGAAAATTCAAAGTACTTGGTCTTTTTCGATTCTCTGATTTTTTGAAATTTTAAAAATCCAAAACAAAAAACGCCAACCAGAATTTACGTTTTTAGACGTCACCGGTGCTCTTTTCAATTGTATGATACTCCCCCGTAGTTTTGCCGCCTACGGATCGTGTCTTGTAACCACATCCTCTTTGCTCCATGTCTGATCGGGAAATAAACAATCTCAAATATAAATGTAACAGAGCAGTGTCTGTCATACAGCGGACGTTGTCAACAGAATGTTGTCATGGAGACAGGACAGACTTGCAGCGCTTTTCATCTCAGCGGACAAATGCTTCATGCAAACACTCCCGAGCGCACAGTCAGTACTTTTTCTGGCACTAGGTGGACACGGGGCCTTAGAATCCATATTGCCAACTAGCCTTAACGGGATGTTATTATAAACAAATTCAGATCAAGAGACAAAATCAAAATCTGTGTCCGCCATATTGAAAACCATTGGGGTCAAATTGAATCGATCATAATGATAATTACAATTCCTTTACATATAAAGCAAAACAGGTCAAAGAATATAAGGATTGTACCTTTAAGTGTTCCCATTGATAAGACCTATTAGAGGGATATATCCAGGTTCCAAACACTGCAGCACCCACATGACACATGGAACAGGAATCCAGAGTGATTAATAACAGCGTTATAAGACAAGGAGAGGAACATTGTGCACATTGTTATCACATTGTTAAAGCATCAGTAAGACATTCAATACATAATTTATAACAGAGGCAACAATCTAATGTGTCTGTTTATCCAGATGTGGTGGTGCTCGTCACAGTGAAGTAAAGAATCAAGTTCTCTTAACATCACATGCATCAGTGCTAATAGTGAAGCTACAGGTAAAGCTAACAGATCTATTCTATGTGGACGTGCTTGCATGTGATAGCCAGAGAAATGGTTACTTTATTCAGTGATTTGCACGCACATTACTTCCCCAGATCTGAGGAATCAAAGTGTGTTAAACATGTGACGGCATAATGGGGGCAATCAAACATGTGATGTGGCTGACGGCTGAAACTCAGATGCTTATTATTTAAACTCTGGCTGCTCGGATAGAGTCATGCTCTGGCTGCCACGACGTGCTCACCAGTAGAGATAGTAGAAGAAGGAGAGGACGAAGAAGGACAGCTTGCACCAGGCCTCCTTCAGGCAGAACTTGAGCGTCTCGCCGTTCATCACGGACGCCGGGTCGTAGAGCAGCTCCTTAGTGTCCGTTGGGGAGTGAAAGTACCTACCACAGGGGGCAAAACCACATCGCGGGTAGTTGACCCGTTCCAGACCCGGAGGAGGGGGGGAGTTGGAGGGGGGAGGTGGGAAGGAATGAGGGAAGGAGAAAGATGGGGGAGATGATGGAAGAATATGGGGAAGGAGGAGGTATGGAAAAAGATGGCATGATGAGTTCTGATTGGACGCCATCATGCAACAGTCATGGGTGAAATAATGGTTGAACATGTTTTATGGTCGTTGTCGTTCACTAAACCCTTCCCCTAAGTGAATACACATAGTTCTGGACTCAGACTACATTACATTGTAAAATGCTCAATGGGGCTAAAGAAGGGCTTTAAAGACTTTATATGTGATTTTTCACACTTTTTTACACAAATGTAATATAAATGAAGTATATCCTCTGAAAATAACTCTGTGAGTCATGACTGTCTACAATGGGTGTAACACCCGAGTCCCACTGTCTGTGATGTTTTCAGAGTTTTCAGAGTCCTATTTTCAGTTTGTTTACATCGTCGGGACGGCCGGCTGACTCCTCCCCTCGTGTATAAAAGTTGTTTAATTGAGGGACTAAAGAAAAGAAGAATAACATACTGTACTCACTGCTTAACTGTGTTTCTAGATCACGCTCATTTCAGGTAAATTTACATGCAGTGTGAAGATATGAACATAATAAAGATCGCTATCATTAGCATGCTAACACAACAATTCATCGCAAGTTGTTTTGGTTTCATGCTGGTGCTCAAGGGCGACATCTACTGGATCAAAAAATCGCATATAAAGCCTTTAAAGACCCCGTATGCTCCTCAGGTTCACCTTCATGTCGTCAGGCTGTGAAACCTAAAGAGGAAATGTCGTTCAGCTTTCAGCTTGGCCCCTTTAAGGAGAGACAGGCCAGAGCGCCACATAGAAAAAAGACTACAGCTATGCAGACAGAACTGTTTCCTGATTTGTACTTAAGCTAATTTCAAGACAAACAAGCAAAACAGCAAAGTCGGGTTAAATATACGCTCTATTTAAAACACTCAGCACTTTACTTTTGCACTAAGTTTAGCCCCTTCAAAGAGAAGCAGCTCAGAGTACCTGGAGCTAGGCTATACCAAACTATCCCTTTAAACCGTTTCCCTTTCTAACCTTCCCTAAAGTCATCTGCAAATTATATTTGATAACTCTCTGTAGAAACCTAGCCTCACTTTTACCGACAATTTGTGTAACAAATGTGTCTGTTATGGTGAAAACCGTCTATCATTTAGCATACAGACATACATATACTGTGATTTTACATACACTGTGATTGAGTCACATACAGAATACTAAACAAAGGGTTTGTTCGTTCAGATGTCGACTGTCTTTCTAAAACATTCAAATGTGCTCAGCAGGGGCCAGACTTTACTGCCCCAGTGAGCTGATGTCAGATAAATGAAGCCGAGTAAAGGAGGCTGAGGAAACGTTGAATTAAAAGCTCGCTAAAGGTTGCAAAAGTCCCTTTCAATAAGAGAGAAAAAAAACTGATGACATGTTTGCCCTCAGGTTTGCCTCGGGAGCTCAGTTACCAAATCATGAAGGAGCTACAAATATAAAGAGGCCTGAGCTCACAGGAGGGGTTTATAATGCAAGCTGAAGTATTTTGGAAAACAGCATCTATGAGAATCAAGAGCATACTCAAGGCCCTCTCTCGTCTAATTGTTTTCTTGTGTCAAGTCAGTCAGGTGACAGTAATAGCTAGGATTTTAAAACACCAATATCTAACAGGATGCCCTATTTGACAACGTCTGCGAGTTACACAGGGGTCATATTATTCTACGATGATTCTGATTGGTTAATTTCCTACTGTTATTACTATAACCAGGATGTGCCATGCATAAACTCTAAATGGGCGGCTGTGACTCAGTTGGTAGAGTCGGCCCTCTTTCAACAGGAAGATCAGGGGTTCAATCCCCAGCTCCTGCAGCAACGTGTCCTTGAGCAAGACACTTCACCCCAAGTTGCTCCCACTGCTTCGTCAGCGGCATATGAATGTGTATGACTAGATGAGTTAATACACTTTACACAGCAGCCTCTACCATCAGTGTGTGAATGTGTAGGTGTGACCTAAAAGCGCTTTAGCAGTCAGAAGACGAGAAAATAAATATAAAAGCTCAAGTCCATTTACCATTTACATATTAATAGACAAAGCCTGAGTGTTGTCACCAATATGTTCCTGAAGGGGGCGCTGGAGTCCCATCAATGGTGGTCTCCATGATGGAAATGCTGTCTCTGCCTAACTAGCCGACATGCGCTAACCTTGTTTTTTTTTTTAACCAGGCTGTAAACATGTTAATTTGTGCTGTAAAAAAAGCCTTTTTTGAATGGGTGTGTATGTGACTTCCTGTGCTTCTGCAGCCAGCCTCTAGTGGACACTCAAGGAACTGCAGGACTTTACACTTCCGCATTAGCTTCATTTTTCAACACGGGAGGTCGTGAGGCCGCTTGGCGTCTTGCTTTGTTACATGGTAGAAAGCTTGAGGTGTGATGGGGGTTAAAGGGGTAAGGGTTTAGCGAAGGATGTTTGAATACCTCTGTCTTATCTTGTGATACAAAATCTTACATTTCCCAACAAGATAAACAAAGTATGATGAAATATTTAGATGAATATTCAAATATTCAAATATTCTTTCAACCAGGTTGGTTATACTTTGATTAACGTATCAGGACTGGGGCTCAAAGATCTCATTACAAGCTGACTTATTAAAACCCTGAAGAGATCTTTTTATTCTAATCAACATCAGTTAACATCAACAGCTTATTCAGCAAGTGAGTAATATTAAGAAGTGCAATGTCAACAATACAAAGAAAAACCTGGCGATGATTAGTAGCTGAGTGGGTTTAGGGAATTGTAGGATGTTTCCTGGAGCTGAAACGTCCACATGAGGATTGTTTATGGGCTGTTAGAATTTTGAAACTGAAAATAGTCATAGAGAAAAAAAAGTAAAATGAGGAGAGAATCACCAGAGAAAATATGAACAGGGAATTCTAACTGTTTCCTGTTGCTGTAAGAGAGGGCTGTTTATGTGCTTATTCACAGACGCCTCATTAGTCTTTATGGGAGGAAATCTGCTTTAAATGGACCCCAGAGCTGATACCAATGAACAGGATTCAACAATGGAAGACAATATATCAACCAAACAGACCAGCTGCAACAAGGGTACTCTCTGCTGGAGACCATTCTTTAGACCAACAAGGAGTTTATTCATGGAGTTTATTTGATGCAGTCCAACCAGGAAAGCATCATAATGCATGTGGTCTGTTCAGTTCTGAACCAGTCTAAGGGCCCGATCACACAAAGACCTGTCATGGTGGGCATGGCACTTCTGCGTCTTTTATTTATGTCAAGGTTTACCTCAGGAGACCAACCAAAAGTGACCTTGACAAATGCTGCGACTCCGCATCTTGAGCTGAAAATGCGTGCACAAAAGCCGCTAAGTAAAATGTGTCAAGCAGCAGCAGAGAAGAGCGTCTGGCAAGCTTTTCTAGCGAAGTGTCTGTGTGTGATCAGGCCCTAACAGATGGTTTCTGCACGTCCATTGTGTCTTTGGATCAATGATCATTGATGGTTCATGACTTGGAAATGATTTTTGTTGTCATTTCTTAATCAGAATGTACATTTACTGAGTCACATTTCTGATGGCGGATAGATGATTCATGCATGTATGAGATCTTCAGTCATCAGATTGGGAATGCATCTCGATGTGGGGAAAAGGTGGGACAGGTTTTCTATGAATATATCTGAGGTGTATTTCTCATACATGTAAAGAAATGACTGAGGAGGTCAACAAGTTTATAACACAACAATCCACAGAATATACTTCCAATCAGCCGATACATTATTAACAATAATACAAATGAAAGATATAAAAAGACAAGAAGCAAAAAGTCATTCAACAAAGTTATTGCTTTATGATAAACATCTTCCCAAACACACACTTTCCTACTGCTAAGCAAAGCATTACAAATAAAAAGAGACATTGACATGGGCAGCCTCTCCTGGAATATCCCTCTCCACCCACACACTCACCAATGTGTGAGCTGTTATTCATATTATTATGTTTTATAAACACTGGGATGTCGCCCATGAATGGATCATTGAGCTAACTCACTCTAAACAGAAGTTTCTCTACTGAGAGACCAGACAAGTAGTAGGTCCTGTCACACTTTGAGCCACGTCTCTCTCGTGTATCTGAGGATCGGTAATGTCATCGTGTAGAAACAGCCTAGATACTCTCATTGGTTAATTTCCTACTGTTATTACTATAACCAGGATCTTCCTTTCTCCCTTCATGACAAACAGACTCTGCTATCATCTAACTGAAGGGAAAGAAACTATTAACTGGCAAACACAATTAGCACAGCATCAGAGTCATTTTAACACAATACCATCTATGTTGCCTAACATACTTAACAACAAAACCATATGCACTCGTACTTACTGGCATATATTTCCTCAAATCTGGGGAGACATTTTTTTTAAAACTCATGCTAGTCTGCTCTGCTGCTCTGATCCAGTGTCGCTGCACGAGTCGCTCTTTATGTCTCCGTTCATTGGACGTTTCACTCTTCCTCATACTTTCAGGCGGTTGTGTGTAAAGCATGCATTGGTGCATTTCTCCTGTAACCATCGATGCTCTCATCTCTTGTGTTGAAAAAGAGCAAATTGTGCAACTTATAACGAGAGGCCCAGAGAGTGGAAACACAACTACTCAGAGTATTTCTGAGTTTTTCTTTCTTCTGTGATTTCTTATAACATAACGGTAATTTGTCTCCTGGTAACTTTGGTAACTGGGTGCTGGGTGGTTTCCAACCCCTAATGCTGCCAGAACTGGTTTGTGTTTTTTATTTCTTTCTTATTTCTCACCTCGATCAAGGTAGATACATCATCAAGATGTTGTTGAACTTGGGAACTAAATACCAAACCCTCTGCACAGGTATAAAGGTACACAGCAGTAGAAGAAGCTGAGATAACTTTAAGAAACACTTAGAAGTTAACCCTTGCTCCTGTCCGTAATGAGGAATTACTGCCATCCAATGCATGTTGCCTGGTAAAGGTATCCACCTGGTCTTATCAGCCCCCCTGAACACATCTATACACTCTGCAGAGCGTCACACAAACATGTGGAAACACAAGATAGCATACATGCACATATAAGCCCTACACCCCTCATCATTCATTGGTGTGAGCAATATGTAAAAAAGAAGTGTGTTTTAATAGCTCACCACCATCTCTCTCTCTCTCTCCTCTGAATCACCTTGTCAATATTAGATATCTCTCCTATCACTCACTGGCTTCTCTCTCGCCTCACTGTCCTGCCTCCTGCTACTTCCTCTTTCATTCTCCAGCCTCTTCCATCTCTTTTTTTTCTCTCTCTCTCTCTCACTCTCTCTCTCTCTCTCTCTCTCTCTCTCTCTCTCTCTCTCTCTCTCTCTCTCTTCCTTTACTTGTTTTCTCATCTTTCAGCTGTGCAGGAGGCAGCATCTGTAGCCGTTGGGCATCTGGCACAATATCCAATTAATGAGACAACAAGATGTCTCCTCTCCTCTCCTCCTCTCCTCTCCCCTCCCCTCCCTCCTCCTCTCCTCTCCTCTCCCCTCCTCTCCTCTCCTCTCCTCTCCTCCTCTCCTCTCCCCCCCTCCCCTCCTCTCCTCTCCCCTCCCCTCCCCTCCTCTCCTCTCCTCTCCTCTCCCCTCCCCTCCTCTCCTCTCCTCTCCTCTCCTCCTCTCCTCTCCTCTCCTCTCCCCTCCCCCCTCCTCCTCTCCTCTCCTCTCCTCTCCTCTCCTCCCCTCCCCTCCCTCTCCTCTCCTCTCCTCTCGTACTGCCAGCAGTTTTCATCGAACCCACACCAGCAGGAAAAGCAGCAACAAAGAGAAAAAAAACAACAAGACAGAGAAATAAAAGAGAAATTGGGAGATCACTGGCTGCTGACCCATTTTTCAGACATTGACTCTCAGTAGCTCAAAATGTGAGAGAACACTGACGTTGCTTTTAACCGCATTTTTGCTCATGTGAATGTGTGCATTCTTCAAAATGAATGCTAGACACCCCCATCATCATGCATCGGCTCACTTTTATCTTTGAGTGTGGGTTAGTGAACACAAGGGGTAGAGAACGAGCAGGGAAACAGGGAGGCGTCTGATTGGTGGCTTACAACTGATACAGATGACAAATTTTCTGAGTTATGAGTTATTAATTTCTGTCAGGACCTAAAGACGATTTCAACCAGAATCTCAAAAAGTGAATCTGGAGAAAATTACCAACCCTGACTTTAATTCAAATGATTAAGGGTAAAACATAATTGTGTAGTTAAGCTTCCCATTTTTCAATACTCTGTGACTATTTGACAATCAGGTTTTCCCCAAGTTCGTTCATTTGAACTGAAAACAAAACAGCATCATCAGCATCAGATCACCACAAATGCTGTTTTTAAACTTCTCAACCTTTGTCTTATAGAGTAAACTCTGGATTTTAGGATAAAATATCCTGGTTAAAGCTCCTGTAGTGAATATTAAACTGGTTGAAACAGACTTAAATGACTATTATTGACTTTTTATGAGGCAAACAAGACCATCAGCAGGAGAGGATTCTTTGTATTTAGTTATTAGTAACACCTGAAACGTCTGTGGCACTGAAGCTGTCAGACAAACTGATTAACAGCACTCTCATAACATCAGATATATTTACAATGAGTGATATGTCAGACTGTACAGATGAAGCAGGAGGAGTTTTTTCTGTCTGAAAACCTAAGCGCAACAATCTCAGAAAAGAGATGAGATACAGCTTTGTCCACAAGGGGGCGCAAAAATCAAGAAAAATCTAAAGATCATCAAAGGAGCTTGAATGTTTCTAAAATCAACACCAACGTCTAATAGGTTGATACTTACAATATATCAGGAAATACTGAACGGAGGAGCCACTTAAAGCAAAAGTACACAAGGATTGGTGACGTTTGAGACTAGACGTCACCAGAATTTCATTTCCCTTCTGCTTCAGTGACTTGAAAGACAGATAAAGGTCTAGTGCTTCTAGCTGTGGTTTCAGTTTGCCCTCCCTGTTTCCTCTTCATGGATCATCTTTGTCCCTTTGACTACCATGTTTTTTAACTGGGCTACAGCTTTGAGGCTACCATTGACTACCTCCTAGATCTAGGATTACACATTCACACTGGCACACACACACAACGTTGGCTTGAATAGTTACCTCCATGTGTTGTAGAAGAGCAGGGGGATGTTGAGGCCCACGGTCAGCCACTCCTGGGCACACAGGAACATGATGCAGAAGAGTCCATGAATTGAGTACTCTGGTAGCACCAACTAAGACAAACCAGAAAACAAAGAGGAAGAGGAGGATGAGTCAAAGAGGAAGAGGAGGGAAGGGACGAGTAATGGATTATTCACACTGATTTACTGAGGAAGCAAAACAACTTTCATGTAGATAAAAAGTCAGACACCAACACTTGGCTTTATCTCTCCAGCACTGACGAGTGCAGATTGCTCTAAGAACTTCATGGATGTTCCAACACTCAGTTAAACTTTCCTTAGAGTTCACTTGGTTGATGAGATTCTTCATTATAATTTCAATGTCCGCAGGTGTTAAAAAAAAAACTCCTGAAGCATCTTCATTAGCATTCAAATCCTTAAACTGTCCTATATTAAGTCTCTGCAAATCTGTCTATCTGCAAGCAGTCCAACTGGCTAAACACCCCCATCTAGATTATTGTGAGCTTAGCTCCACAATGGGCAGCACACACCGATGGCAGGGCTCCATCATTATCATAATCACTGGAGGGCTCGGCCCCTCTGAATGCAGACAGCAACACAACACTCCCAGCAAACTGCGTCGCTGACAATCTGTGTGAGAGTCCCCTCGGCAACAGGAGCGCCTTTTGTCTCCAAACACAAAGTTAATAACAAAGAAACGTCCCATCTTCATTCACCACAGTCACTTTAAGACTGAACACGTTTTAGAAACAGAGGCCAAGAGTTACCTCAGGTGGACTTGAATTTGGAATTAAGGTTGTTGTTTATTTTACCCTCTTCTTCATCCAGAATGAACTTGTGATAGAGAGTAAACTTTTGATGATGGATTATCCTGAGTGGATGATGCTCTGACTACAGATTGTAAATATGAGTAAAGACTCTGGATCTGAGATGTGCTCTCCAGTCTATGCTTTAGGACAGATATGGCACTGTCAGGGCGGGTCCAGGGGGAGCTATGGCCCCAGAAATATCATTGGCCACCATTTCAGCCACCCTAGATCTGATATGTTGATGTGTCACACCAAAGTGTTAGTGCAACTGGATTGTCCAAGTCTCACTGATATTTGTACAGTGAAAGGCCAGTTTGCAAACCTCTGTTTAACAATGTAAGGAGAAGTAGAAACAGAAAAGACACAGCAACACAACATATATTGAGAATATGGCAGAGTGGAGACGGTCTCAAACCTTACAGGTTGTTAATCAAACTATTACTTGTCATTAGTTTTCTTCCTCAAACAGCAAATCAAAGAGAAAAATACATTTTTCTTAATGGGCCATCTACGGCCCGGGTCCAACTGAAAACCTACGAGCGGTTTTGTGTGTGTGCAGAAGGTTTCATTTACTCGCCTCACGTCAGTGAACACATAGGTTAGCTGGCTATTCAGCTGCTGGACTACAGTGATAAACATTCAGTTTCACTTAAAGCCCTCAAAACATCAACCACCATCAACACAAAGTGATCACGTGTTTGTATCTTCTGGCTCGTCCTATGAAACATTTCTGGGGTCACCACCTGGAACCATTTTCATGCTGCAGGATCAGGGGACCATCCTGTTGAAAGACTCTACCACTGGCTCAGTGGTACATGATGTCCTCTGGCTCAGATAAAGAAAGGCTTCTTGACAAGCAGCTGGATGTACTCGTGTCTGTTTGTATGTATGTTTTATGTTCAGTCAGGTGTGAGATGATTTAGTCCGGCACACGTCATAAGATACATTTAGAAAAGAAAATACTTTATAATAGAGCACAAATACTTTGAAAGTGCCGAAAGCAAGAGCAAAGAAAGATGCAGGAGTCCAGATAAGAAGCTTTAAAAAACACAAGGCTTACAGTCTCTAAGCACAGCTAAAAAAAGACAAATCAAAGGAGAGGTCTACTGCCTGTTATCACGCAGAGAGCTGAAGAAAAAACAGGTTAAAACATGGACTGTTTCATTCTCTCCTGGCTTTCATGACTGGCTTTACCCCAAAATGTTCCAGCAAGAACAATTCTCAAACTCCTTAAATTCAGTGATTAGCAATTAAAGAATTAAAGAATGAATCTTTGACAATATAAAGAGTATACACACTTTTCTGCTAGTATCACTTCTACTTTCTGTTTGTTTTTGATTTTTTGTCACGCTTGAAAATAGACTCGGGCGTCATATACAGAGGCTATAGTCCGCTCAGCAGCAGCCATGGGTTTGAATCTGACCACTCCCCTTTGCTGCAAGTCATTTCCCCCCCCCCACCCCCCACTCCCTCATCCCAACATGTCCTGTCTCTCTTCAGCTGTCCTATCCAAGGGAGGAGAAAATTAGTAAATGTGTCTCTGAGTCCTGACTGTCTACAACGAGTGAGAAGCTCGAGTCCTGCTGGCTGTGTTGTTGTCAGAGCTGTGTTTACATGGACGGGACGGCCGGCTCCTCCCCTTCTGTATAAAAGATGTTTTAGTCAAGAACTAGAGAGAAGAAGAAGAAGATAGCCTACTCATGTAAGGTTGATGTTACGTGAGATCATTCTCTGTCAATTTACTTGTAATGTGAAGCTATAAGCTAACTAAAGAGCGCTAACATTACCATGCTAACACAACAATACAGGACACAGGCAATCATCTTGAGAAAAGGTGCGTTCTAAATGATAACTCCTTTGTGAAAATGCCAGTGGGGCGGGGGGGGGGGGGGGGGGGGCTTCAGTATGGAGGAGGTGTGGCCAATCAGCAGTTTGTTTTGGTTTCTTGTGGTTTTCCCTCACTTGGTTAAAATATCTTTGTTTGTTCCAACAATGTTTTTATGTTGCTGTTTTTTTTACCCTGACCAGCTGGGCTGTGGCGGTCATATTTAGATCTTTTATTCTTCTTATATAAATTCAGGCTGTTGGTCTCAAACACTGATATTTCCTGACAAACTCACATGTGACCAACGAGAGCATGGCCACCTCTATTTTTTGCACTTTACGCACCACATGTTGCCCGTTCCCAGAGCTGGAAAGTGTTGCACATTATCCCTTAAGATTAGAGTGTGTGTATGTTCTTTGGCTACCTAAAGTCTTGGCACGCAACCTAAAGCCCAGCTCGCCAACTCGACGACCATCTGACCAATCAGATGGCGTGGTTAAAATTGCTTGCTATGCAAATCTGTCTGAATACCTGAATGACCCAGATGTCTCAATTCATGGACATGTGCAGGAGCTTTCCAGCGCTGTATTTAATGTTAATCACAAAGAAAGCCACTTCACTTCTCATGTATATTTAAAGCAGAGCGTTGAGGTGGCGTTCGGGACCAAGTGGCCCTGAACACTCGCCTATACGCCGCCTTAACAAGGTAGTGTTCTGGATGCATTATTCAGACGGCCACGTACCTCCTAATAACAGGAAAACACATTTTCATGGAGTAGCTCTTCAACAGCGGGGGAAGAGAAAACTGCTGCTTGGACAAAACCTAAATATATCCATTTGCTTTCTCACGTACAGCAGGGAAGCTTCATGCACAGCAACGCAGCACACATGCAGCACATGAGCGAGGACACACTCACAGACCCCCCCCTTCCCCCCCTCCCCACATAGACAAAAAGCTCATTAAAAAACAAATAGTCACACTGAGCTTTATCCGTCCTTTTCTGTCCTCCTCTTATTCAAATCCCTGAGGTGTGTTAGCTGCATGCAAACATGCAACACAGAACAAAACAACTTTACTGACTACAACATGAGAATCTGATGTACACACAGAAACTATAGGAGCCTTGTGTCCTGAAGAAGCTTTGCTGTCGTCACTTTAAAGTGGATTAAAGAGGTAGACAAAACCGTAGGCGGGTATTTAATAATAATAATAATACATTCATTTTATATAGCGCTTTTCTAAATACTCAAAGACTTTTCTGAAAACTAAGCTTTTTCTCTGTGTTTTCTACTTTTGTACACAAACTGCGTTTTAGGTCGCTGAAAAAGGACCTATTGAATAAACTTCTCCCAGGGTGAAGATTTTCAGAAACTCTGTTTGAGGTGTGTGTGTGTGTGTGTGTGTGTGTGTGTGTGTGTGTGTGTGTGTGTGTGTGTGTGTGTGTTTACGTGTAGACAGGGAACACAGAGTTTTGGACTCTTAACATCACGCTGTGCGTCACTTTCTCCTCCATTTGATAGATTACATTTGCACTATGTATAATACTGTGGATACTGTATGACACTTCAAGGTCCGCTCGCTCTCATTGGCTGCTTCAGTTTTTCTGTTAGAGGCTCTGACTCGGTGGGGAGAAGTAAAATAGTCTTAGTGACACCACACATTTGAGGATTCTTTGAACCAAATTGGGCTGCTTGGTCTTTGGTTCTCATAGTTATGTTTAATAAAGATTATAAATCTTTGTTTGGGTGTTTACAGTATATTTGATTTAAGTATATTTGTCATTCATCATTACTGTTTCAAGCTACAGTTCTGAAGCCAAGTATTTCATGAAATGGCTTCAGGCTGAGGTAAGCCTGTGAAACCTCTTACATAGACTCTCTTCTCCCAGCACTGGAGAGCCGCCCTCCCCTGGCAGCCCTGCAGTGTTCTGCTCTCCGGAAGGCTTCCAGAAAGCTGGCCAATCAGAAGAGAGTGGGCACGTTAGGAGGGGGGCCTTAAGAGGCAACAGGGTGACATAAGGGTTTTTTACTGAAGCCAGTACCAGAAGAAATCAGAGCTGAGCTGCAGATCAAAGCTACTCTTCATTTGTCATAGCCTAACAACATAAACGGTGATAATGAGTACAATATGGAGTCTTTAAAATGAGTCCTCTACTAATAAAATATATTTAAAAAAAGTTCTATTGGCAACGAGTGTCTGTACTCTCTGACCACAGACTATCCAGTCGAGGTCTGGTTAGCAGTAAGTCCAGTTTGTATGAACAGCAGTGTTGTTATATTTGATCACTGTTTAATGACATTGAAGTGAGAAGAAAACAGTGGTGGTGTTTACGATCACAAACACACTGGGTGTAAAACAGAAACCATGCCAGGTCCAGATCTGACCCTCAAACCCTCCCAAGGATTTTTTATTTTTTATTTATTTATTTTAATCTCATGGCCCAGTGAAGTAATGTGGC